ATAACATTAGTACCCAACATTATATAGGATTTAAGTACAGTTTCTCACCTCAGCAAGAATGTATTTCACACATGCCTACTACCAAATAGCCAGGCACCGTTCATCATCAAGCTGATCTCTTCCCTCTCCTTCTTTTCTGGTAACCACCATTTTGTTTTCAGAGTCTAAGGGTTTGTTTTTATTCAATGTAGTGTTTGATTGCTTTTGCATACAGTATTTGTCTTTCTCCTTTTGACTTTTTCCACTTCCTGTAATCCCCTCAAGGTTCATATTTGTCAAAATGGAAGATTTAATCTTTTTAATGTTTGAGTAGTATTCCTCTGTGTATATATACCACATCTCAATCCATTCATGAAGATCTAAAATCTTGACTGACATGTCTTGATCTGTGAAACTGAATGACAGAGAAACATGGTTAAGTATCACAACCACTTCAATCTGCTTTCTCCAATGAGAGTAAATGTAGTGATGAAAGTGATTGATCTGGGCACAGTACTACTGTAAATCTTAAAAACTATAAAAATAATTAAGAGATTATGTGGAACAATTGATAATTGAGTTGGTGAAAGGGCTACTTCTCACTCAAAAGGTGGCAAATTCTGGCATAATCAGAGTTGAAAGGTTGAGATTGAGCTTATTTAGTTTCGCATATCTGTTCGCAAAGCAGATATGGATAAATAATCAAATAGTAGTTTCTGCCTAATGTCCAGATGGGGTGAGTGTTATGAGAGGAAAGAGTCTATATCCTAAATTTAGTAAAGCAAATTTAAAAAACACAGAATGAAATGTTCTCATACAGCTTTCTAAGAGATTCTCATAGTGATCTTGCATTATATTTCAAACAACATGAAGATTATGACGGTTAAGGATATGGAAAGAGGAGACATTGAATTCATCATGGTTGGAACCAAACCAGTTGTTTATAGTGACCAGTTCACTGCAGACTTGCTGGGATCAGCTGAGTTAGCAGAGGAGGTGAATTTAAATGGTTTTGGCATACTGCTCAAGATCACAGGCTGTGCAAACCCTGGAGCCATTGCAATTGCTGTTTTGTGGTTCTGACATATTGGTGATTGAAGAAGTTGAGGGCTCTATTGATACTATCCTTCATGTTAGTCGCTGTTTCTTGAAGAAAATAGCTCTAACTTCTGGAGGTGGTGCTCCAGAAAGAGCATTGGCCCTACAGTTAACTGAATAGTCACAAACCTTGAGTATTGTCAGAATTCTACAGCACTTATGATTTTGCAGATGCCATAGAGAACATTCCAGCTACTCTGGCTGAAAATGCTGCTCTGAATGCCTTTGCCACTGTAATAGAACTCAGAAATGGCATGCCCAGGGAGAGCAACTTCAGGCATTAATGTCCAAAATTTTGGTATTTTCATTATTTGGAGGAACCTTGTTGGTTTCAGTCAGTGCACTGACTCTAGAACTGTAACTTTCTGGAGCATTCTGAGAATCACGATGTGGTAAACACTTGGAAATCCAGATAATACTGGCTCCCTAGTACTATCATGGCCACTAAGAGTATGCCTGGGGAGGAAGATCACCTTGGTGTTGCTCATTGCCTGGAAAACTGTTTCCTCTCTGAATTCCTGTGCCTAGTCTTCCAGCTGGCATTTGCTTGATATTGCACTGATAAAATTGAATGAAAATATTGCATATTTGTTTTCAAAAGTCAAATTAAGTTATTGCCCCTCAACATTCTATTACTTCTGATACTCTTGACAAACCTATATAAGAAGGAAAAAAATTCAAAAGTGGACAATGATGTAAGAAAATAAGTAAATAAATTTAGGGGGGAAAAAGGAGTAAATGAATTCATATTTGTCAACTTTGTAGGGCTTAGTCCTGGGTACTTTTATTTAAGATATTTTAAAACAGAAAAGAAGAATGGCTTCATAGGCTCACCTCTCTGATAAATCCCCATTTCCATAAAAATATCAAGACAGTATATGTACTGTTTAAAAAGTTAACAGTACAGAAAGATGGAATATAAAATGAAAGTTTCCCTCTATCCATCAGCATAATCCATTTCTCCAAGAACAACCACTATTGTGTTAATGGGTGTTCTTTCTACAAATAAAAGTGTTTGTATATAAAAAAAAGAGATAGCAACTTTTGGTAAAGACATGGAGAAATTGGAGCACTTGTCCACTGTTGGTGGGAATGTAAAATAGTGTAACTGCTATGGAAAACTGTCTGAAGATTCCTAAAAAAAGTAGAACTATCACATGATCCACTATGTATTAATTAGAACTATCACATGATCCACTATGTATTATCTGCTATAGATTATCAGCATGCTAGGATATGGGCAAACAATATAATTTAAACACAATCTTTGCCCATAAGACCTTGTACAATATAATGGGGGAAACAGACATGTGAATAAATAACAACAGACACAACCAACAAAAGCAGGTTGTTGTCTTAGTGGCATCTTACTAATGATGTATGTAGGATTTTCTAGGAATATCTCCACCACCAGGAAATTAACCAGTCCCTTCAAAGTCCCCACTCTAAACTGTCCGTATTTCCCTTATATAATTTTCAGCTCTGAACAGATCTTACACTTCTGCTTTACTCCATTTGATTATAGATTACTTAATATCAGGGTTTGTGTTTAAATTATTTTAATTTAACACTGTTTGGCAAAGAAAGACCTGGAAGAGGGCATCCCCTGGTGGCGCAGCGGTTGAGCGCTGGGCTGTGAAGCTGCCCACAGCCTCTGCAGCGCCGGTTCGATCCCCAGCCGCTGGCGAGGGTCCCACATGGAGTGCAGACCTCTCCTGCCATGCCCGCTGCTCCCCTCAGCAGTGTATTTCGTCAGTCTGTCTGTTCTGCTCCCCGCTCTGGCTCTAGTGAATTCTCTCACTCTCCCACACTTCTGACTGTACTCAGTGCTTGTATAAATAAATAAAAATAAATATTAAAAAAAAAGAAAGACCTGGAAGAATGAAGGGATGACCAACCCTTCTATAAACATTTTAAAAAGCATGTTTAATTCTTAATTATTTACTATGTAGTAAGTGCTTTCCTAACTCTTTAACTGCTTTCACAACAACCTTATGAGTGGGGAACAGCATACTGATGTTATGGATGAAAAAACCTAAACAGAATAAAAGTTTAGGAAGCTTGCCAAAAATTCAACATGTGAATCTGTAAAACCTGACTTCAGAAATCTTAATTATATCCATCACACTTCCTGTTATATTTAAATCTGGGACCAGTGTAGGATTGCTAGTAATTAACCATTGTTTCAATTGTTGAAGAAGGAGATTGAGGAAATCCTATCACAAAATGATATCTAGCATTTATTGAAAATGCACATGCCAAAATTTATAGTCAGCACTTTCCCACTATATATTATTTAGTAAATTCTCACAAAAACTTTATAAAACAGGCACTATTATTATCTCCACTTTGTCAGGCTTGGAGAGGTTGCATCTCTTGCTTAAGGATACCAAACTATTGAGTAAAGAGCTCAGCATTCAAACTCCAGCACTTGTGCACATAATCACCGCATGATGCTCTCCACAAAGGAACCAAAAGATTTTTTCCATTACTATAAATTGCAAAAGCATACATACAAAGATAGCATAAAATACATTAATCCTGCAGAAGGAACTTAATTTTTAATGCATCTGTATTTCTGCATTCCATCTATTCATCCATCCATCCAACCACTCAGCCATTTGTCCTTGTATCCCTTTTTTATCCACTCAATAGTTCATTTATGAATGCATGCCTGTGTTCATTCACCAAATACTTAATGAGATTCCACCATATGTTAAGCACTGTGCAATTAGGTAGCTTTTAAAAGTTGACTTTGGGGGAAGACAACTGTAAAACAGTTGAAAAGTCCTAAATATTTGAAAGCTGTAAGAAAATGAAGAGCTTAGAAATTTTAATAAACTAAGTTTTTTCAGTAACCTTCCATGTGCTTTGCTGAGTAGGTAGATGCAATATAGATTTTATGTACCTTATTTTGGAGTGATTGTCAATGGCATTAATAGTTTCATTTAAGAAGGTGGCTTTTGGTATGGGATATATAAAAATAAAATTTAAACAAATAAAAAAAGAAGGTGGCTTTTGTGCTTAACTCTGGATATTAGGTCATAGATAATTTCACAATTTTCTTTGTGCATTCCAGATTTTTAATGATGCATGCCTGAAACTTATATAATGCTATAATACAAAGTTACTTCAATAATTTTTTGGGAAATGAAGATGGTGGTGAAAATTTTCGTTTTATATTTCTCCTCAAACACATACATGATCTACTTTAAAAATCCAATATATGACTTGCTATGATGTTTTCCATAATATCCTTCACTCTGTCACACTTGAGCATACAAGTTCTCTCTGAAATGTTGAAGATTCTAGAAGGGAAATTTTAGAACTATCACTCATGAAATGACCTCTTGGAAGTCTGTCAACAAGGGCTTGTGATAAACTTGGGCAATGTCATTTATTACAAAAACTTTTCCTGTACCAAGAAGAATAATAGGCAAGCTAGCTCCCTGCAGGGAGAAGTTTGCAAATGACTGTGTTTTATGCAAGCCTCACTTCAGTGGGTTCTATGGAGGGAAATGTGTGTAAATTGTTAAAGGACATTTTGGTAAGATCAAGGTCTTCAATTGTTTCCTCAGTTTTTTGCCTTGGAGCTGCAGGTACAATTCTAGCATTCAGGTGAATCAACATGTAAATTTAATTCTTAAATGAAGAGGCACCATTTAAGTATTTTATTTTCGGTCCACACAGAGAAGAAAATCCTCATTTTTATCTAGTATCGTAGTTTATATAAAATTGAGTATCCTAGGGCCTCCTCTGGTGGCGCAGCGGTTGAGCGCTGGGTTGCGAGGCTGCCCGCAGCTGCTGCAGCGCCAGTTCAATCCCTGGCCACCGGCGAGGATCCCAAAAAAAAAAAAAAAAAAATTGAGTATCCTCTGAGCAGCAAACATCACTCCTCTCTTTGCTGTGTTCATTCTGCTCAGGACTCGTCTTCATTAGGCCTTTCATCTGATGGGCTGAGAGTGGTACATCCCGACTTGTTGGAGAGGTTTCCACCTGGCTAGGTGAGTACAGAATGCTTGTATTTATTCTTCCTCATTGTCTCCTGTTCAAGTGTCCTTTTAATGGACATTCATGCAGTGATGAGGCTTTGAACCTCCTATCCAGATGGCAGACCCCTCTTTGAAGGGATATTTGCGAAGGTCCCTGCCCAACTGACAACAGTTTATTGCTTCCTAACATGCTTATTTGCTGTCATAGAGCAATGGGAGGTACCTAATTTGGGCAGCATAAACTTGGCAATTCCTGTATAATTGCTGGCTTATTGAGCCAGGGGTATTTTCACTTTTATGATTAAACTCACTTGTATATTCTTGCTAATGAGTTTTCCGGTACCTAAATATAAACCCAAATGACTTGCGTATCATTGGTCCTTATTCTCAACTGGAAATTCCTTATGCTTTCTCGTATGCAACATGAACAAAAATCAATTGAACCAATAGACAAACAGCTCCTGTATTGTTACTTTTAATTTTATGTTCAAAATATGTATTTATCTTTAGAGAAGTATGCAAATCAAAAATGAGTTTCCACAAAGTGATTGTGGCTATATAGCCAGCATTCATATCAAAATACAAAATATGACCTGGAAACTAATTTTGTGCCAAGGAAGTCAAAGTCCTCTTTCCTGGTATAACAATGAGCCTACTTCTAACACATAAATAGCTTTCTCTGAATTTGAACTATATAGAAATAAGAAAAGTGTCAATGTGTACTCTTATTCTTGCATCAAGTTTTACTGAAGATTCACTCATCATTCTGTTTGGCATATTTATCCTTGCACTTGGGAGTAGTTACAATGTGTTCATTCTTACTGCTCTATAGTATTCCACTTTATGAATATATCAGGGTATATAATTCCATTTTACTGCCTTTTGGGATTCTTACAAATGGTGCTCCTGTGTACATTCTTGGCCTTGCCTTTGGGCACACATGTCTTTTGACCTGTCTCCTCTTGCTGTAAGTATGAGAAAAATTATAAAGTAAAACAGAAGGACCCACCTAAAAAGATAAACCTGTGACACCAGCATTATTGGGAACTTGCTGTGGGTGACTCATAGTCTTTTGAATAGAAACAACTCCCTCTGCCACAGTGCTTTCCTCTGGAATCCAAACTCATTGAGTGACTTAGCAGAAGGGCCCCAAGATACTCCTGTTCTCATCTGAAACAAACCAGATTTCAGTTAGGGATGAAAGCAAAATTTAGGATAAAAATATGCAAGCTTTAAGCCATATAGAACAGCACAGCCAAAAACACTCATTAAAATTACTCACGGACAAAAGAGATTTGCACTAATTAAAATGCCTAGTCACTGTAGAGTGGGTTAAGAGGGAAGATTGACTTAGTACCAAATGGCTTCATTTTATGGCCTTACATCAAACTTTTGAAATATTTTCCGTTAAGGAAATGAAAGGAAGATGAAAAAAAAAAATCCTCATAGGGAAATGGATAAAATACCACAGACCTAAGGAGATTCATTATCATTATGGTGGCGTTTTCTATCACATTTTATGAATTTGGGCAATTTTTATCACACTTGTTGTTAAGGGACAATTGAGCAGGTGCCATTTTATGAGCAACTAATTCTTCAGTGATTCCCAAGTGGAGGATCCACACACAAGGGTCAATTATTATGAGTCTAAAAGAAACGCTGTGATTGGGGGAAAGGCAAAGTAACATTAATCTCCTCATCGCTCCCTTGAGCAGAGTTCAGCTGTCAATTTTCATCCTGAGGAGCTTGGAGACCCCCAACACGGTCAGAGGGTTTTGGATTTTTTTACATCAAGGGCAGAATGAGCTGAATATTTTTAATACAACTTTATAAAACCAGTCCCTACTTAGATTATAGGCATGTTTGAAGGAAAGGAAGATTGAATAAGATTCCTCTAATTAAAATATAGACTGAATATTTCAGTATATTATGCTGAGATTTTTTTTTAAAGATTTATTTATTTATACAAGCACTGGGTACAGTCAGAAGTGCGGGAGGGTGAGAGAATTCACCAGAGCCAGAGCGGGGAGCAGAGCAGGCAGAAGGACCGAGGTACACTGCTGAGGGGAGCAGCGGGCGGCAGGAGAGGTCTGAGTGCCATGTGGGACCCTCACCCGGTGGCCAGGGATCGGGCCTGCGCTTCGGATGATGCGGGCAGCTTCACACCCCAGTGCTCAACCGCTGCGCCACCAGGAAGGCCCCTATTATCCTGAGATTTTTAACTTTCAAATTCAGAATCATTCCTAGATTAGCCAAGTCTTGACTCTTCTCTGGCTTTTATTTCAATGTTTATGTGACTAAGCATGCAGGATTTTATTCGGGTGATATGGAATTTATATTCTTTTTTTCCTAATGAAAATCAGAACAACCACAAATTTTTCCTGAAATGGAAACAATAGATGTGAAATACTTAGCACCATCATTAGACGTTTGGCATTCAATTAAGGTTGGGTTCCATTCTGCATGTGATTGTACGATATTGGCATGTAACTTACCACATTATGAATGGGGCCATAGAATTGGGAAGAAAAGGAAAATAGAAGCAGGCTAATACTTGTTTATGGCTTCTTATGTGGGAGGTAACAAGCTCAAAATTTTATTTTTTTAAAAGATTTATTTATCTATTTATACAAGCACTGGGTACAGTCAGAAGTGCAGGAGGGTGAGAGAATTCACCAGAGCAGGAAACAGAACAGGCAGAGTGATGAAACACACTGCTGAGGGAAGCAGCAGGTGGCAGGAGAGGTCTGTTCCGCCATGTGGGACCCTCGCTGGTGGCCGGGGATCGAACTGGCGCTGCAGAGGCTGTGGGCAGCTTCACTGCCCAGCGCTCAACCGCTGAGCCACCAGGGGAGGCCCAAGCTCAATATTTTATATTTGGTAGTTTATTTAATCCTTTCAATGATGGTGGAAATTATGACTTATTAAGTTGAAACTCAGCCAGGTTAAATATCTTGACCAATGTTACTCCCTAATAAATGGCAGACTCAGGAATCAGAGCCATGCCTACCTGTGGACTATACTTTCCCATCACACAACTTGGCCTTCTCATTCTAAGTACTAATACGCAGAAGATTTGATCGTTATTGCCCTGTGGGAAAGCTTGAAACGAAAATGCTTATGGCTCACCTGCAGTGCACCAAGACTCCAAGTTCAAGGTCACTGAATCTTATAACTAATTTTGATGCTGGCAAAATTTGAGGAATCTCAGTGAATACCTACCACCTTCCAGTTATGGGTTCCAGGAGAACTCAACCAGCAGCTACAGGCCACATCTGGGCCAAGGTCAACCTGCCAAAAAAGGGACAAGACTGCTATAAATGTTTATTGCTAGGCTAACATTGCCTCTTGATTTAGAATGGCCAACATCACATTTCCTCTTTCCTTGCACCTTGTTTTTTTGTTTTTTCCTGTATCCAATGTCCCGTGACTCCTCAAGTCTCTATGCTGCTGCCATAACTCTTGAGGTTTATAAAACACAAATCTGACCATGTCGTTCCTCAAAAAAATCATCTAATCTGGGCCTCCCTGGTGTCGCAAGGGGTTAAGTGTCAGCACTATAATGGTATCATCAGCCACTGCAGCACGAGTTCAATCCCCGGCCAGGGAGGTGACCCACATGGCACATCAGACCTCTCATGTCTCACCCGCTGCTCCCCTCAGCAGTGTATTTTAATAGATTTGCCTTTTCTGCTCCCCACTTTGTCTCTGGTGAATCCTCTCACCCCCTCCCCACACCTCTGGCCTGTACCCCAGCTCTTGCATGCATAAATAAATAAAATAAATCTTTAAAAAAATCGAATCTTCATGGAATTTTGACAGCATTCAAACTTCTTAGATTAGCACACAAAAATCAGGCCCCTTCTTCTCTGATCTTGCCTCTCCTCTTCCCTCCCTTTACTTCACATCACCTTTTTCTCTGACTATTCTCAAATAACATGACAAGCTACTTCATACCTGCCTGAAATGTCCTTCCTTCTCTTTTTTTCCTAAGTAAATATGACTTTGTTTTTCATAATTCAACTGTAGCATTAACTCCTTTTGAACCTCAATGTCTGATTTGATTATCCTGCTAATTATAATAGAATCACATTATTGAATTACAATAATTGACTGTGTTTCCCATTACGTGGTAAGCTTATTGAGGACAGGGACTATGGCTTCAGGCATGTTATTCTTTGCACATAACACAAAAGCATGGACCCTGCATTATGCTTGTTGAATTGGAATCCGGCTCTACCTGTATGACTTCTCCCTTCTAAGCCTGACTTTGTTCATCTGTGACATGGAGCATTATCCACCCTGTCGGTAAAGCATAGTGTCTGCCACATATTAAGCACTCAGTAAAACTTAGCTCTTACTATGAGAACAGTAATCATTTATTTCACAATCATTTATTTCATTCTCAAGGTAGAAAAAAACAATTGTGAATTCAATAACCTCTTAAGTGAGTTGAGGGACTTTGTCACACCAATCAGAGGGACGCCTAACAAGAGCTAAAAATTTTGATATCTAACAGAGAAAAGAAACTAAGATACCTTCAAGTATCCTCGCACTATCTTGCACATGAATTACGTGGGGCCTTGAAGTATAACCATGTTCATTAAGGTTTGATCAGAGAAGCAGGACCCCTTGGGGTGCTATGGAATGAAAGCTTTGTTATATGCGTTCGACCTTGGGCCACTGTGAGGGGGAGAAGCAGCTACTTTCATTCTGGCAGTGAGTCCAAAGTCACAGTAGGTATGCAGAACCAGCAGGCAGGAAGCAAGGATGAACACTTGAGGTCAAGGAGCATGAGGGCCAACTGGAACCTTCAAAGCAAACCGGAACCCACCAGGACAAACTGAAACTCATGTTCTTCTCACACTGCCTCTATCCTTGATGATATAGTGACCTAATGATATATCATCATTGATGATATAGTGACCCCTACATAGGAGACTATGGCTTTTGTCATAGGGCCATATGCATGGTTGACCCAAGATGTGGGAAACTGAAGGGCAAGATGGGGC